TATTCCCGAATAAAAGCACGTTGGTGTGCAAACCCCCTTTCTTTGAAAGACCAGCTCTACAAAAATTCTGGTCAAACGAAGCCTGCCCTCCAGTTGGGTGTGCCCACTGCCCACGTCCTCAGGCCACCCAGTCCCCCTTGGCTGCTGGCTTTGGCGGCAGGATGTCATCCCGCCCCCTTGCCTTCCAGGGGACCTGTTTCAGAAGCCCGAGGTATCCACGGTCAAGTTCCTCTTCCTGGTGGGCGGCTTCGCCGAGGCCCCGCTCCTGCAGCAGGCAGTCCAGGCCGCCTTCGGGGACAAGTGCCGCATCATCATCCCCCAGGACGTGGGCCTCACCATCCTCAAGGGCGCCGTCCTTTTCGGCCTGGACCCCGCCGTCATCAAGGTGCGCCGGTCCCCACTCACCTACGGGGTGGGCGTGCTGAACCGCTACGTGGAGGGCAAGCACCCGCCCGAGAAGCTGCTGGTGAAGGACGGCACCCGCTGGTGCACCGACGTCTTCGACAAGTTCATCTCCGCCGACCAGTCCGTGGCCCTGGGCGAGCTGGTCAAGCGCAGCTACACGCCGGCCAAGCCCTCGCAGCTCGTCATCGTCATCAACATCTACAGCTCGGAGCGCGACAACGTGAGCTTCATCACCGACCCCGGGGTGAAGAAGTGCGGCACGCTGCGCCTGGATCTCACGGGGACGGGCGGCGCCGCCGTGCCCGCCCGGAGGGAGATCCAGACTCTCATGCAGTTTGGGGACACCGAGATCAAGGCCACGGCCGTCGATATAGCCACCTCAAAGAGTGTCAAGGTCGGGATAGACTTCTTAAATTACTGACCGGCCCTCCCCGTCGCCCGCCCCCTTGGACTCAGCTCACCTGCATCTGCTGACCTCAGCCCTGACCGTTCTGTCCATGCCCTTGACCTCTGACACCGCCCCCCCCACACTGAATTTCAGCAGGGAAGATGAGACCAGGGCTAGACATTTTTAGGGATTTTTGAGGGCACACTGGAGTCAGAGAAGCTGTCGGGAAATGAAGATTGAGGTTTGGGGACGGGAAACGCAAGGAAAGCGGTCAGAGACGGGAACCCGTGCGTCTCTGCCCAGCAACGGAGCTCGCTTGCTCCTCAGGAAGCAGAATTCTGGGCGTTCTGCCGCCGTCCTTCTGGATTCGCCACGAGAGCCTTGAGCCAGGAGGAGATTCTTCATCTTTCCCAGGCTTCGCTTTTCACATTTTTCTTTTTCTTTTTTGGATGGCAGTCGATATGAAATGCCACCCACCTGCCGTTCATTGCTTTTGCTCGTCACTTGATCAGGAGTGGAGATTCAGTGGGAAGTTGGAGCATTTTCAGCTGGTGGGAGAGGACTGCCCATGCTGGGCCCTATTTGAGGCTGTCGTCATTTAAATTCCAAATGGGTCCCGTGAAGAGTAGCTGCAGCCCTGGCTCGTCCACCGGGATCCGTGCGAGGGGAAGGGCTGGCGCCCCAGCTCTGCGGCTGGCGACGACTCGCTCCGGTGGAAATGGATGCTGCTGCCGTCCCGCATCACGTGCTGTGTAATTTTAGGCATCAGAACGCCAACTCCTGATTTCTGAATTCATAAGTACTGCCAGTTAATCTCAGTGGGATTTTTTTTTTTTTAGAAGAAAATGAGGTGCATTTTCACTTGTTCTTGTCACCAAGCCCAGGAATCTGGGACAACCCCTCACCTTGGAAAATGTGCATATTTTAAATTGGCTCCCTCCTCCCAGCTTACCCTCAGCCCCCTGAAAGTGTTGGTCGTTCATCCCCACATTTTCAAAGAAATGCATCGTCAGTACACAGGCAATGCATCTGTTCCATGAACTCTTGCATTAAAATGGTTAGTTTTTAAATTCTGTCCCAGAGGAATTTCGAGATCTATACTTCATGAATTAAGCCAAGTTTGTTTGTTTTTTTTCAAAGCAGATTTGTGGGTTACCCCCTGGAGGGTGTTGGTTAAAAGAGGTTCCTGGAAGTGTCCGGTCGCTGCATTGTACCCCTGACACTGTTATCACTAATGTAGTGTCCTGTACCAGCTGCAGAACACTAGAGCAGACAGGCAGACAGGTTCCTGGATCCTACCCCTTTTACAGACGGAAGTCAAGTCTTGGAGAAGGGGACCAGGGTCTGCGGGTTTCAGTAGGCGCTGCGGGAGACGGTGGTCTGGCCGACATCTGAGAACCGCTCTGCTAGGGCTGTGTGGAGAGCCCAGGCGCAGACCGGTCTCCCCGAGGAGCAGCAACCTTGTCCTCTCGTGAATGGGGCTGGGGCCCCAGCTGGCTTGGGAGTGGCGCCTCTAACCCTCCCAGGAAGGTCAGCAGATGGGAAGAAAGGCGCCCTAAGAAAGGGACCGACCGAGGCGCCGACGGGTGGGGCCTGCGTCCCCCACTCCCAAAGACAGCCTTCCTCTCCACCGTCCAGGAGCCCAGGGAGGATCGACAACCAGACCCCCGACTCCCGGCCCAAGTGGTCGGCTCAGAGCTGCCCTCCCACCCGCTGGCATTCCCTTCCATTTGGAACCCTGGGGCATGCGCAGTGAGCGAAGGAAGGGCGAGCGCGCTAGCTTTGAGTGCTCACCGCCGTCCGCAGATCTGCAGTAGCATTTCTAATGTCATTTTAACGTGTCTCCTTTGTCACCTCACCCGCTGCAGAAGTCCCTACTAGAATGTGAAACACAAGCAACCGCAGAACTTGGGGGCGCTCGTCACACGGCCGTCACTGGGCCGCTCGTCCAGGTACACAGGTGTGCCCGCCAGGGCTTGCTTGCTGCCTGCTCTGCTCCAAAGGCCACGTGCTGTGGGTCTCTGGTGTCGCCAGCCATACTCTGCAAATAAGACTTTTCTATTGAGTTATAAGTAATATAATTTTATGTACATACCGTGTTAGAAGATTGTACAGATTCTTTATTTCTATAATGTGCTTTTCTGGTTCAAAGAAAAGAAACATGCTCTCTGAATTTCGTTGCTGCCTTTAATTTTTCAAGGTTTCATTTCTTAAGTAGGCTTACTACTCCGCGATCCGTACCGATCCTAAGCTGCGGACATCGTACGCAAGACCGAGCGGCAGACGAGCGCCGGGCAGACTGGCCGCCTGGTCAACAGCTTCGTCAGACCTTCCTACACACCCATCCTTTCCACAGGGTCACAGGTCGTGTTTAAAGGAGCATAATAATGTATCCATTCTCCTGTCCAGCCTCGGAGAGCTGAACATTCTGGTTCTGTAAGCAAAGTGGCCGTGTGCAGGAAAACCTAGGAAAATTCCTCACGCCCCTTGTGGGGCGGGGCAGGGGCTCTGAGGGCGAAATGGGGTCCACCTCCCGCGCGGCTTCCGGTGCGCCAGGGACAAAGGAAGGGACCGGCTGGGGCGCAGACCCAGCTTCTCCACTGCATTAAGTGTAAGTGCGGGTGAAACAGTCAAGTCCCTCTTTTTTTTGGCTAATGGAAGGCCTTTCCCACCTTGCACTAAGGACGTCTCCTTGTCTACTATATATTTCTCTTCAAATGAGCTGGCTGAAGTCTGTAGAGTCGGCAGATAGAGGGTGGAGGGGGCGTGATACTTTCACTGGACTTTCTTCTGGTCCCAAAGATGCAGCCCCAGTAGTGGAACCCCGTAAAGGGGGTCCTCAGATCTGTGCTTCCCCCTCCCCCCATGGAAGGACAGCCGAGTAAGAGAGCTGGATGGGCACGCCTGGACACATTTTCTAATCTTAGAAAATTTCTAAAAGGCCTGTCGTCTCGACAGGTTACTCAGTTGTCCCTGGCTTATTATCTTATGTTCGCCTTTCTCCGAGGCAGAACTGGAGAAAGATTTCCTTTGTAACTGCCCTTTCTGTACACAGCAGGCGTTAATAAGTGCTGAATGACAGACAAGATAAGAAAGGGGAGGAGACGCACAAGCGTTTTTGCAAAGCGATGGCTAAGATGCGTCCAGATTACCGAGCCTGCCCTATCATTAGAATGATATTTAGATCAAGTTTAGCTTTTAGAGTCCAGGTCTGGTTAATCGCCAGGGTGGCAAAGAATCGCATGCACCCATATAAACAGGAGTCAAAATGCATTATTAGTCGACGATCGAATTTCACGTTGTAGAGACGAAATAGCTGTGATTAAGCTGCATAGTTATGCCGGGAAACGGCCTAACTGGATGACTACTGTAAAAAGTTGTCGGCCTTGATGTTGTTACACTTCTCACCTGCTTGGAATAAGGAACTGTATCCTCACAGGGGTCTTGTTCGAACTTCGCAGAACCTTGCAGCAGTCCACGACTTGACGAGGTTGTATCTGCAAACTCTGTCTTCACAGATGTCCAATAAAACAAAACTCGGGATCTCATGTGGCCCAGCCTTTTTTTTTTCTCCTGCTCTGAACGTGTAAATGGAACTTCAAGTGCATGGTTGCCGACCTCCTCCTGCCCCCCATGTCAGGGAGATAGATCGTTCAGGTGCAGCAAAGCTTTGCCCACTCTCATTGCAACCAGACTGGCCCCTTGGTTTGCTGGGAAGGCAGGCTCCCTCGCCGTCTATGGAGCCCCCTTCCCCTCCAGAATGGATGAAGGTGGCCTGGCCAGAGGAAGCGCAGGTAAGCCAGGGGGGCCGCTGACAACGCCACTGAGCCCACTGAAGGTTGTTTAAAAAAAAAAAAAGGCACAAGGTCGGGTCGGTGCCTTGCCCTCTGACATCCCGGCAGGCACACCAAGCTGGCTGCTGCATCTAGAGTCTTGGGTTTATTCCAACTCTATGTCTGGATCGCCCTCCAGAGTTGGCCCTGGAAACTTCTGGACAGTGTGAGGTAGGGAAGGCTGGGAGGTGCAGTAAACAGACAAAGGAGTATTAGAAAACAGTGTCGCCCAGCCCAGCAGTCTGGCCTCCACTTCCTTCTCTGTACGGGGAGGGGCTGGGGCACGTGCTCCGTGCAGGCCACGCCTCCCGGCGTGCCTTCTGGGTCACCCAGTGGGCAATCCAATGAGCTGAAGGCCCAGGCCCCCACCCCCCTTGGCGCCCGTAAGGTGAGGATGGTTCGAAAGGACTATAGCCCCAGTCCCTTGGCATCCCTTCATTTAAGGAGCATTGCCCCTTACTGCCCTGGTACCTGCCTGCCTGGCCTGCTGGAAATCCGTCTTTCCTAATAGCTGCAAGGCAGGGGGCTGGGGGAGGAGCCCACAGGGAGCACCTGTACCCGAAAGCCGCCAAGGACAGGGGCCTCCTCGCCCAGGCTGCTCCCTGCACCGGCTAGTCGCTCCCAGCTCCCAGGGCGCTGAGTTTGGGCTGCGACTGGGCACGGGGGAGGGGGCTCTGTTCCTGCCGACCCTCTTCCACCGGGACCACGGGGCCGCAACCCTGGCCTCCCCCGTGTTCACATCACTAAAAGGCCGTTTGACCTAGATCCCTCGGCGCGCCCTACCCCCAATTCCAGAACCCAGAGGGGCCCGGCTGGGGAAGACTGAGAACGGAGATCGGCTTGGGAGACCGGGTATGTGTGGCGCTGCTGCTGAGCGAGGCACAGGGGGAAGCTCTCCCCCGTCTCCCCCCCACCCCTGCCCATTCACTCGGGCTCCCCTGCCCCTGAGTGGGGCTGCAGGAGGGCGAGGAAGAGGGAAGGCGCAGGCTGGGGAGCGGGACTCAGCCCTTGCCCCTCCCCCTCCCCGGGGGCGGGGCGGGTGGTGAGGGCACAAAGGCCCGGAGGCGGGGCGGAGGCCCAGCCCGGCTGGAGGCTTTGGCTGGGCCGAGATTCTGGCCGGCGCAGGTGAGCGACTCAGGAAGGGGTTGGGAAAAGGAGGGGCGCCGGTACCTGCGCTCCCAGAACTCGTTGCCTGGCACCTAACCCTCTAATACGTCTCCTATCCAAGCTCCTCCCTTCCACCTCCTCCAGGCAGGCCTCGGGGTGGTCCGCTGCTGCCTAGCCAGCCACCACCCACGCTGCGAGATGCCCCCTCCCCAGCGGCTCACTGTTGGGCAACAAAGTCCTGCCGCTCAGAGCTGGGAGGTAGTCCGTTCACACCTCCTTGGACATGACAACCCGCAAACAAGTTCCTTAACCTCTGTGTATTTTTTCCTCATTATATTGGGGACCCCAATAGGAACTAACCCTGGGGGTGTCCCTGAGGATTTAACAAGAATGCAGCCCGGCAGGCAGCCATGTCCCCTAGCAAGCAGTCTATAAATGTCTGAACTGCTTTAAAAATCCCCAGCATTGCCTACTGCCCCTGACTGTGGCCCTCCCCCTCACCCCTGAGGCCCCTGACCTGGAGGGAGAACATCACTTTTAGGAGAGGAGCTGGCTGGCCCCACCAGCACCCTGAGATGCGGCTCCTGGCCCATCCCGAGAGGGGACCACAGGCCTTCCCTGAAGCGGGGAGGGGTCTGGCTCTGGAGAGAGCTACCACACGACTGTTACAGTGCCCCCCGCCCCGCCCCCCACTCCCCCACCTTGGACTCCATGCCAGCCTGTCGGGACTTCTGGTCCCTGTAGCCAGAACTCACTCATTCCTTGCTGTGGGGTTGCCCTGTGCTTTGCAGGACACTGAGCGGCATCCTTGGCCTCTGCTCCCTGGGTACCAGGGGCACCCTATCCCCAAGTCTTGACAACCCCAGATGTCTCCAGACCCTGCCAGGTGTCCTGGGAGGGGCGGCGGTGGCAGCAGAAGCCACCACTGAGGCCTGACCCCCCTGGAGGAAAGGGGCTCTGTGGTGAGGGCGTCTCAACTCCCCCCTCCCCCAGGGTTCTGAAGTCTTACCTGGGGGCTCCTGGGTCTTGCTCATCTTTCCATTCCTAACCTCGGTCACAGTTGGTGGCCAGAGTGTGTGTACAGTTCACGATGTCTGATGGAGGATAGATGGGAGGTTGGCCGAGAGGGTGGGGTGCGGGGAGGCCCCCCAGGGCAGGGGGGACCCCGGGGGGGTGGTGATCTGCACACCTGATATGTGAGTTCACGTAGGACGTGAAGGCCCCTGAGCGTTGTGACGGAAACCAGCAACCTCTCCTGGTTTGTGCGAGACGGTGAAACTGCCCCTCCATCCCAGCCCCCTGGCAGGGTCGCTCGACTCCCAAGGGCTCTAGCTCACTTGACGCGAGTTCCTAAAACAGGGGCATTGGATGAGAAGCTCATTCCCTCTTCCCTTTATGAGCAGAGAGCAAAATCATGGAGCCTTCCAAGCCCTTCATGAGACAGCCGCCGATCACACCAGGCTACAGTGGTGAGTGGCCCCGTGCCCTGCCGGGATGGCCCTGCCCTGAGAGCCACAGTCCGGTGACTGCCCCCGCGCTGGCCCACTGCCCGTGTCTGTCTGGCTGACTGGGCCGGAACAGGCGCTTCAGCTTTTAAGGTGCTTGTTAAGAGCGCCCCGTTGCTGAAGATGGCTGATGGAGAGATGCAACTCAGGCCGAGTCCCCCAGCGCACCACCGGGCATGCAGGAGGCACTGAGCGAATGGCCGTGGAATGCGTCTGGACGGGGACAGACACAGCACTATGGGCAGAGCTGAGGCCTCTCTTTCTCCCCAAGTGGGGCTTAAGTTTTACGGCAGACCTGTGCCTGTGGTCCCATTCCTTCTTCATCCCCTAGTGGGGAGGGTGACCACCTGCCCCAGTTCACCCAGGATGCTCCCAGTTCTACTGGAAGTTCCAAGTCACGCCCGAATCCTTGGTACCCAGACCATTTGCTCCCCTACCCGAAGGCTTCTGGGCCACCGAGAACTCCCTGAGACACCTCTGTGACGAGCCCAGTGACCCCGATCGGCCCTCACGTGCAGGGGGTCCGAGGAGGGGAGATGCAGGGGCCATATTCCGAGGTGGCCCGGCCTCCCCCGGTCCTGCTGGTGGGTTGAGAGAGCAGGCTCCCGGTTCTAATGCACTGAGGTTCCCGTTTCCGCCTGGCCACTGTCTGAAGCTCCTTACTTCCCTGTGGCAAGGGACCATTTCTACGAAGTGGGCGTGTTTGTCATCGCAGGGCTCTGGAGGCTGGAAGTCTGGCATCAAGGTGTCGGCAGGGCCGGGCTCCCTGTGGGGGCTCCGGGGGGAGGGCCTTTGCTCGCCTCTCCCGGCTTCCCGTGGGCCGGGCATTCCTGGGTTGTGAGAGCGTCCCTGCAGCCCCCGCCTGCACCTCTGCCACACGGCCCTTCCTGTGGCCTTTCCCCTGTGTCGTCTGCGTGTCCAATCTCTCTGTCCTTTCCTTTTCTAAGGACACCGGGCACTGGGTGTAGGGCTCACCCTAAATCCAGCATGATCTGAATTCCCAGATCCTTAATGACACCAGCAAAGACCCTACTTCCAGATCAGGTCGCGTTCATAGGTACCAGGGGTGAGAACTTGTACAAATGTATTTGAGGGGCCCAGTTCCACCAACCACAAGGGGGAATGATGGATTTTTGTGCAAGAGTGTGGTGAGGGTTACCGGAGCCAGCGTACACAACCTCTTGAAAACGTCTGGGCCCTTAGCGAGACCTCATAAAGGCAGGTTGCATTCCTGGGTGTGGACATCCGCGTGGCTTTACAAAGTAGGCCCTGGTGGAGGAACAGCCACAGTGGCAAGGGCCCTGGCTGTCTACCCCCTCCCCGTGACATCCGGGTGTGTTTTAATTGCCCAAGGGGCGGGGAGACAGGGTGCTGGGTAGAGGACGTCAGGATCAGTCTACTAATTAGGTTCTTCTAGGAGGTGGCTTCCTCCAAGGTGCAGGGGGTACGGGGGCGTGGGGGGGGGGGGCGGCTTTCAACTCTGAAGCCAGGTGCCCCGACCTGGGGACAAAGGCAAAACTGTTGCGCTTCCATCGTGAGAGTTAATGTATTTATTTTTGCAGTTGAAAAGCAAGTTCTTAACCAGTTTTTCCTCATTTGTCCTTTCTTTCCCACGTGGTTTCATTGTGATGATATTATAGCACTTAGGATTTCAGCATCCCGTTTAAGTAAATAGTTGTGCTTTCCCCGCACTAATTGTGATGATTATCTGTCATTTTCTTGGGAAATGGTGAAAAATTGTTCCGGGGGGTGGGTCTCCCAGATAATGAATTTACCTTTTTGTGTAATAGGCCTCGGCTTTTAATAAGCCCGCAATTTCCCCAACGGTCCGACAAGAAAGATCCCAAATTGCCTTTGGGAAGTGTGAAGGAAAATAAGCTTTCTCTCTAAAAAAGACGAATAATTTCAATTACTCCTCAGTCTATCATTTTGGCCCATTACACGCTTTCCCCATTTACTGCTCGGGCCGACGTCAGGGGCCTTGCTATCAAAGAACATTACTGTCCTCGCCTTTGTTGAAACGGGCTGCTTTCCCTCCCTGGCTCCAAGGTCGTTTTTGGAGCGGCCTTGGCAGGGCCCAGCCCCAGCGGAAACGACAGCCCTGCCGGTGTGAATGGCCTTTGGGAAAAACGCGAAGTTATTGGCCAGAGGACGGCCAGGTTGCCAGGTTGCGGGCTGAGATGCGGAGGCGTCTGGGCAGGTCCTCGGTCCTCGCTGCAGGCGGTGATGCCGGCTGGCGGCCCTCCCGCAGGCTTCATCCCGTACCTGAGCTGCGAGGGCACGGCTGCCGAGGACCACGGGGCCCGGTGCGTGCTGGCCTTCCAGGAGAAGACGCAGCGCTACAAAGACCAGCTGGAGGAGTTGCGCTGCTCCGTGGCCACTGCCCCAAGGCTGCAGCCTGTCTGCTCCGAAGAGACGGTCCTGCGGGCGCTGCACGAGTACGAACGGCAGCACCACCCCCTCAATCTGGGTACCAGCTCCCCCCAAACAGCCCCCTCCACCCCGGGGCCCCAGTGCAGGGCCTGGCAGCCGCCACCCCCCCCCCCCGCCCCGCCCTCGGAGCTGCCGCAGAGAGCTCAGAACCCAGCACCGCTCCAGATCCCCTGAGGCCAGTGTAAATGGAAAGGCCCGATGTCTTAAAATGAGAAACGTTTCCAGGGGGGAGAAGGACCCAGGTCAGGGGACAGGGTGCTGGGACCTGAGAGCCCCTGGGCAAGTCGCCGCGAGTTCGGACAGGGGCCATCTCTGCTTTCTCTGGGCCGGCCACCGTCATCCCGTCAACCACTCACAACAGCCCCGTGAGGTCACTGCTGTCATCCCCACATTGGAGATGGGGAGTGAGGCTCCGGCGGGGAGTGTCCCTTGTCTGAGGTCAGACCTAGGTTTGAACCCAGCTCCTCCAGGTACTAGCTGGGCGCAGCCAGGTTTTACACTAAGTGACAACTACGAAAACAACGGACAATATAATCACGTAATGTTAAAATCACAATAGTGATCTACTGTGGACCGTTTTCAGGTCTAAAAAGTCTTATAGGAAGAGTAATGGACTGATTGCCTTTATTGTTATTGCTGTAACTGTTGGGGGACTTTCAAGAACACATTTCTTATGGTTTAAAATTTTCCAAGACATTGCAAAGAATATTTGCCTAAGACTTTTTGAGACTGAGCCCAGCTTAGCAGCTACTGGCTGTGTGACTCAGGACAGGTTGCTTCCCCTCTCTGGGCTCCAATTCCTTCACCCAGGGCAGGGACGGATGGACCAGATGCTCCCTAGGCTGTCTTCCGGCTCTGAGGTTGTGGGACTCCGTGGCCTAATTTGATTTTTACACCAACTGGAGGAGGCCGGTGGGGCAGTAATCTTTCACCTCATAAATGTGAACTTGCCCAAGGTCAGCCGGCTGGACAGAGCCATTCATGACCTGCAAGCAGCTTCCCGGGGCTTTCTCCTGATCTGGATGCTTCTCTCTCTCTCTCTCATTTTTTTAGGGGGGGGGGGAAGGGAAGAAGAAAGAGAGGGAGAGAAACATTTATGTGAGAGAGAAACATCAATCAGTTGCCTCTCACACATGCCCTGTTTGGGGACCAAACCCACAATCCAGGTATGTGCCCTGACTAGGAATCGAACCCGTGACCCTTTGCTTTGCGGGACGATGCCTAACCCACGGAGCCATGCTGGTCAGGGTGGATGCTTCTCATGATTCTCTTATGTAAACTGTCAAAGAGCGATGTCTGAAGCTTTTCATCTGAGAAAGCAGCAGGACCTGTTTCAGGGCAAGGACTTGGGAATCAGACAGACACGAGGTTGGATCTTGGCCCTACCACTTTCTTGCTGTGTGACATTGGCCAAGTCTCTCTCTGCCTCTTTCAAGTCTCAGCCTCCTCCTCTCTACAATGGAGGTAATAACAGCACCGACTTCTGCCAGTTTGTAAGAGAATGAAATAAGAGGCTATATGTACAGCCCCCGCGGCGGCGCCTGCCACGGCGAGTCAGCCAGCCAGGGGGAGCCGCGGTCAGGACCTCCGCAGGCCCAGGGCTCCACCCGGGGCTAAACGTTGGGGTGCCGGCCAACTGGGGAGCACCACCCGTGGTGAAGTTTCTCAGTGCCCTCAGGAAGCACAGTGTCTCTTTGCAGAATGCAAAGTGATGAAGAAACCTCTCGAGGAGCCCCCGATGCCTGGCTGGTCCGGCTTCCTGCCAAGAGCCAGGGTCACCGAGTTAGGCTGCGCCACGCGGTACACCGTCATGGCCAGAAACTGCTACAGGGACTTCCTGGACATCCTGGAGCAAGCCAAGAGAGCGCGCCTGAAACCGTACGAGGAGTGAGTCTGGCTGGAGGTGTAACCACAGGTAGCAAGGGGGAGAAGGGGCAGGTCTGGCCCGGGGCCTCAGCTGCCCCACCCCAGCGCTAGGGCTGCCGCTGTGTCTGGTTTGTTTCCCCTGGGGCTCCCGCTTGTCATTGCAGGGCCTGACTAGCGGCCAGCACCCCGAGTCCCCCACCTTACCCAGCCTTCCCCCCCGGGGGGCCTGCTTGTGGTCTTTGCTGGCAGGAAAACCACCAGGGCCACCATCCTGGGAGCAACCTAAGGCCCCATAGGGTGCTGCACAGGGCGGCTCATGCGGCCTCAGCTTTCCTTTCTGTAAAATGGAGATGATCGTCCTTACCTTTAGGATAAGTGGTAGGGATTAGAACTAAACACGTCGTCCTCACCAAGGGCCTGCATAGATTATATTTGTTCTTTTTTAAAAGACTTTATTTATTTTTAGAGAGGGAATAGAGGGAGAAAGAGAGAGAGAGAGAAAGAAATATCAATTGCTGGGGGCCATGGCCTGCAACCCGGGCATGTACCCTGACTGGGAACCAAACCTGCGACACTTTGGTTCGCAGCCTGCACTCAATCCACTGAGCTACGCCAGCCAGGGCATATATTTGTTCTTTTTAAAAAATTATTAACAAAAGGAGTAACTCTATGACTTATGTCCTTATGTTAGAATATATGGAGTTAGGTCCACGCAGCCTCCTCCTGCTGCTCCTTCAAGAGATTTGCACTGTGAAGAGTTGCTGCCAAAATATCCGGACTTTTCTGTTCCAGGTGAGGCAGGACCCTCTCCTCCTTTCCCACTCTTTTTATAGAGGGGAGAAAGTGTTTGCATGGGCCTCCCTGCATCGCCGGACCACCTGACTGCGGCTCACGGAGATGGTTTCTCTTCCAGATGGAAGCTGTCCCATCCTTACAAATCCCCTGAGAGACGACCCCAGACCTCCGGCGTCGTCTGGCAGTGTTCAGATGCCATGCAGCGGGGAGGTTTATCTGGAGCCCTTGTCCTCCGCCAAGGATGCAGAAGGCTAATGCGGAGAGCCTCCTAAGGAGCTGACCTGTAGGGGGCGCTCCAAAGCTCGCCATTCTCAGGAGAGCATCAGCCCATCACCACCCACACCCCAAGAGGCACTAGGGACATTTCCTAACTTAAGAATTTTTTTTTCCACGGACACCAGCACCCTAGCTGGTTAGCAATAGCATGCCATGAATGAGAAAGACCTTTTATTGTCCTGTGGGAATAAAGAGGATACTTCTCAGCTCGCTCAGGGCTTCTGTGGGTTTTATTCCAGAGTCTGTTAACCTGGAGAAGAGCCAGGGCGGGGCCCACCTCCTGCTAAGCCCGAGGTAGCGGCGTGCACCTGGGCAAGGCTGCGAGGGAAGCCTCGCCCAGGCCTCGCACCTGGCCGTCCCCATCAGCCGTCTTGGGCCCGAACACCGTGGCCCCCGCACCTCGCAGATGCCGCGCCCACCCCAACCCTGGCCTTTCCGAATCCCAGTCCCTGGGAGAGACCCGCTGGTGGACACCAGCCGCCGTACTTTCCCAGGGCTGCTGTAACGAGTACCGCACACTGGGGGGCCTACGACGGCAGACATTTCTGGAAGCCTCCAAACCCAAGGGAGTTAGCAGGGCCGTGCTCCCTCTGAAACCTTAGGAGGAATCTTTCCTTGCGTCTTCTCAGCTCCTGAGGGTTTGCCGGCGGTCCCTGGTATTCCTCGGTGCACCGTTCCCGTCTTCGTCATCACACGGCTCCCCTCCGTGTCTTTGTGCGGCTGTCTTCTTCAAAGGATACTGGTCCCGTTGGATTAGGGTCCACCCTTCTCCAGTGTGACCTCATCTAAACTTAGCGAATCTCCTCCGCAAAGACCTTGTTTCCAAATAAGCCACATTCTGAGGTACCAGGGGTTAAGACAACATCGTATCTTTTTGGGAGGACACAGTTCAACCCACACCACTGGCTAACGTCCTCTTGCCACTGATGGGCACTCTCTCTGATCTCCCCCTGGAGCCGCTGACACTCGGAAGAAATCAGAGCGTGGCTGGGCAGTGAGGACACGCTCCATCCCGGGGCTCTGGCCATGGCAGGGACTTCCACCCCGGCTCCCTGGACCCCCAGGGTTCCGTGGGTAGAAATCAGGGGTCAGAGTTTTGACTTTGATGAGAAAAAAAGAACTTGATGAGAAAAAGAAAGTTACATCTTCGTTTTCACTAACCTCCAATGAAACTTAGTGTTGCCTTTTCTTATGAATGTAGGAAACACTGTAGGCCGGCCTGTGACCTCAGCCTGGCGATTTTCTGATTTTCTGCCCGGTGTGCTGCAAGGATTTTTAAAACATGCAACACCCGACTAGAGTCAAGGACACTGACCTCTCTTCCCTTGGATTGTCAAGTAAAAAAACAAAAACAAAACAACAGCTAACACAACAATAGCTGTCCAGTGTAAATGAATCAAAATTATACCTATTTTTTGTCAGATTGGCAAAAAAATATTTTTTGGGTGTGCCACAGAATGTTAGTAATTAGTTGTGTGTGTCATGAGATGAAAAAGGTTGAAAATCGCTGCCTTAGCCCAATAGAAATCACAGGCCTTCTCACACCTTAGGACACTTGTTGCAGACAGCTGGAAACCATGGCACTGTTGCTCACGACTCTGTAATCGCTGCAGTCATGACAGCCACTGCACTCACTAACATACTGTTATTCAACACATGCGTGAAGAAACACACTATTTCACAAATCTGTTCTTTCTAATATTTTGATACTATTTCAGTAGAATTGGTTTTCTCTATATTCTCCTGTATTTTACTTTACATTTGTTTTTTTTTTAAGAGTATTTTTTAGAGAGAGGGGGCAAGGGAGGGAGGCAGAGAGGGAGAGAAACAGCAGTATGGGAGAGAAACACCAATCAATGGCCTCTTGCACGCCTCCCAGTGCATGCCCCCAGCTGGGGACCCAGCCCACAGCCCAGGCATGTGCCCTGGCCCGGAACTGCCTTTCCGACTGCAGGATGGTGCCCTACGCACCAAGCCACGTCAGCCAGGGCTTTACTTTACATTTAAAGACATTATTCGGAGAAGAGGCCCACAGGTTTCACCAGCTAGCCAGAGGTCCCTGGCACCGAAATGGTCCAGGGAAATAATGAAGGATGTGTGTAAAGAGTGAGTGTCACACAAAACACCCAACCCCACGGGAGCTGGGATCACAGTGATTCCGATTACTCCAAAATAATGTGATGGGAGAATGCTGTTATGCAGAAATATCTGCTACAATGCATGCATGCATGCATGCAAAAAAAAAAAAAAAGCCAGGCATAATAACAGCAAACCTTGTGTACACACACACTACAATCCTGTTGTTCGTTTTAAAGAGGGCCGCGACCGAGTAGAGGGTGCTAACCCGTAATGCTAACAGTGGTTATTTACACGATGGTGTTACTGGTCAGTTTTATTTTTCTGTTTGTTTTTTTCTCCCAGTTTTCCACAGGCAACAGCTATTGTTAACATCATCGTGAAGAGATGTTACTTTAAGAATCCTCATTTGAATTGGTTAGAAGACACATTAATCTTTTAGAGAGTGTAGGTTAGAAATTGTACATCTCATTGCCAGGGAGCTGGCTGGCGTTCTTTCCACAAGGCTCAGAGAACAGCTGGGATTTTTCCAGTTTTGGTGAAGCCCTGGAGAGTGACCCCAAAAAGTCCCAGAAAGGAAATCAGGAGACAGATCCTTCACCCGCCTGGGCCGGAGGGGTCCAGCCCACGTCTTCTCTGCTGGTCCCTCAGAAATGAACCTCACGGGAGGCGTAGCTGGCTGGTTCCCCCTCCAGGACCATAGAGTTCATGGATGTTTGCTCTGGGCTCAAAGTCGCTGAGATCTCTGCCCGTGAAATTAAGGGGAGCGGGGACCAAAAAGGCCCCTTGAGACTGCCCTCCTGTTGGCCTCATCCACGGGTTAACGTCACACATCCAGATTTAAGTCACTAATTCACTCGGCACCAAGCTTTAAAGAGCAACTCGAACTGTAAAACACACACACAAAAACCACCACCCAGTGACAGAGGGAACAGCACTGAATAAAGGCAATTTTAAAAATTGTTTAATAGTACCTAGGTCTTCTGCAGCTTCAAGATGAAGGTTGCCAGCTCCGCGGTGTGGATCTGTAACCCCTTTTGTGGAAGCCGCTCTGCATCACAATCCTCTCCTTAATCTTTATCTTTTTTGTTTCTCCGTAGCCTGTAATTTCTAGAGCACGGTTCTGTCGGGGGAGGCAGAGAGGTGATTTTCCTGCACAGCAAATTATCATTATTAGCACAAGCTGCATCCTTAATGAGCTCATTCTTGCCACGGAAAACAATTCCATTACCTGCTCAGACGAAACTCCCCGGGTCGGGAAGGGCTGAAACATCGGAGGGCGTGGACTTGCACGTTTGCCCGTGCCATCAGCGCCTCTTGTGGCAGAGTCTGACTTCTATGGCGGACGTGGGGAGGGGATGCACGGCTTCCCTGTCCTCGCTCCCATGCAGGGAGGGTGACGGGCTGGTTCTACCCAGGCTCTCGGTCACGGCTCTCACGTGGCGCCGGCACCAGCTGTGAGCCTGTGGCCAGGAGTCAGATGCCTGCGTTCAGATCTCAGCTCTTGCTTTCGTATGGCTGTGTGCCTCTGGACGCTTTCCTTAACTTCTCTGAGCCTCGGATTTTAGTTGGTTAAAAGGAGATGACCAAAGAGCCTCTCCAGGAGCGTGTGTAGGAAGCTCAAGAGATTGGGCAGGTAGATCTAGCCCTTGCAAGCTTGGTAAATTTGAGTACCAATTACCACTGGGGTGAAGAGACCTGGGAAACATTGCCGTAGCTGACCGGGTTGGGGTAGGGACTGTTAGCAGAGACGGGTTCGGAACCCAGGGCTTCCAGCCCCTAATGAAGTGCTCTTTTCTTCCCAGGATTCCACCCCGTCGTGAGGCGTGCAGTGCAGGTACGATTAGCAAACCATAAAAACAGCAGTTTGCTAGTGTCAGCCTCAGGCCTAAGCCCCTACCTGGAATCGTTTATTTAATTAGTATACATATTTTAACTTTGCAGGTGAGCAAACTGAGGCACACGGAGGTCAAGTAATTTGTTCAGGGCTACACAGGCCATAGGTAGCAAAGCCAGGATTTGAACCCGGGCAGTCTGAGGCCAGACTCTGCACACTTAATTTGCACACTACACTGCCACGTCCCACGACCCTCCTCTGTGGTGGCTGCAGCAGGAGCACAAACTACTCCAAAATCTGTCACGGTTTCGACGTCGAACCGACTCAAGAAAAGAGAGGAGAGGACCAAGGAGAAACGCAAAAGCACAAGGAATGTGACAAAGCCAGCGTAAGGCCGTCACTGGGCCTTGGGACTCCTCACACTGGTTTGTGCTGCACACCTGCTGGGCGGTCCTGCTGGGCGGTCCTGCTGTGAGACAAGCACTGGAGGCCTTGGCTTTCTGCAGCCTAACACCCTCCCCGTGAGGTTGTCTGGGAGGATTAAACAGGGGAACTCACACAAAGAGGTTGGCCCAGCATTTTGCTAACAAAACCTTACAGGCTTTCTGCTTCCTTGTGAGCACAGCTAACAGCACAAGAAAGGAACAATAAAAAGGTACAAAGTATCTTTTTCCCGCAGAGCGGGGGGAGGTAAAAAGTAAGGCTCAAGACTGAACGCCCTCACCTCTCTGCTCTGCTCCTCGGCCTTGCTCACCAATCAGACCCCAACCCAGCCCCGGGAATTCAAGATTTGGGGTCTCGGTGTCTTCTTTCCCAGAAGGCCTCTGAGGAATTTCCTTGTGCAAATTACTCTCTCCTCTCTAAATACCCAGAGATTCCCCTGGTGTCCGGCCTACAGGGGGCATTCCACCAGTGTGAGCTGTCCCCGGGGAAGGCAGAGCCTCAGTCTGCGTCTCCTTGACAGCTGACAGGCCTGCACTTGAGGGAAGAGTGGGGTACACGGGTATCCACTTGTCTTCGGGAGTCAGAAAAAATACAGGTGGCCCCTAACGGAGGCTGATGTGCTCCCAATAAAACTCCATGACGACATTTAGATGCAAGCAGGGTTTGTCTCGATTCTCCAAAGGCTGAGAGGGGAGGGTCTTCCCCATCTTTCCCGCCCAGCCCAGGGTACCACCAGGAAAGGGTGCCCGGCATTCCGTGGCCTAGAGGAGCCAGGCACCCAGGCCCTACCGGCCTTGTT